CTAGCCCTCGCCCGGTCAGCCGACGGCTGCTGTCCCTGGCCGGGCGCTAGCCCTCGCCCGGTCAGCCGACGGCTGCTGTCCCTGGCCGGGCGCTAGCCCTCGCCACGTAGCCCCGTGGGCTGCTGTCCCTGGCCGGGCGCTAGCCCTCGCCACGTAGCCCCTGGGCTGCTGTCCCTGGCCGGGCGCTAGCCCTCGCCCGGTCAGCCGACGGCTGCTGTTCCTGGCTTGCCTCATCCTACCCCCTCGGGCGTCACGCCTGAAACGCGTTGGTAAGATGCTTTGGGCTTGGCTCTCTGTCGGGAGGCAGCTGGCATTGCTATGACGACACAACCAGACTGCTTGGGTCAGACTGTAACGTGGCATGCTGGGACCTGGAGCCTGCGGGCTGCTTTACTGTTAAAGGCGAAGGCTGTTGTCTGGCAACACGGTGATAGAGAATGAAAAAAACCCTAGAAATCCCGTCCTCTGGTGAAACAAATCAGACTGAGGCCTACTTAACAATTCTGCTCTCCAGGTGCTGCCATGGGGAGCCCAGGTGACAGCTGGGGCAGGACACAGGGTCTTTACTTATTTTTTTTGAATCTGTCCCTCAATTTGTAATCCCTGCAAGTTGGCCCACTGGGGTCTGTGAGGGCCCGGCGTTGGGGGTGGTTCTTGCTGGGCGAAAAGGACCCTGTGTTTATTTCTGACGATCAGAACCAACAGTCAATCAGGCGGTTTAATGACCTCACGCTAAGGGATTAGTGTAACTTCTAGCCTGTGAAATGAGCAGTGGTAGAGCCTGGGTATCCTGGCATGCCCTGTCTGGCCACCCGAATCTCTGGGGGAATCCTCGGAATGATGGAGGCGCCGTGTGGGGCCCGCTTTCCAATCCGCTGGTTGCTCTGTTGGTTTAATGGCGAGCGTCTCTCCGGGTGAGTACGTTCCAGCGGCAGGCTGGCAGGGCGCTCTGGAGGTGGAAAGCCCACCGTATCCTTTTGGACTAGCTTTCCCTTTCATGTCCCCCTGTTTTCACGGCAGCGTCAGGAGCAGGCTCACCCCGAGGAGGAGAAATGGTGCTCTTAATCCCTTCCTCCCCCTGAGAAATGACTGGCGCGCCTCACCGGCTGGGGAAACACAGCTCTCCCTGCGGCCGTTCCGCACCACCACTGTGGGTGGCTCCGGCCTTTGTCTAGGAGGTGGAGGGTGTTTCTCCGCATGTCATCTCCGCATCCCGTGAGCCTGTGTCGCTCTGGCCTCCGGCAGAAGTCTCCTCTCCTGAGGAGCGTGCATGGATTTTGTTGTTCCAATGGATCTTTACAACTAAAACCCCTCGCCCCCCCCTCAAAAATCTCCAGATGGTAGCCACCGATTCTGGGAGAGAGTCTGGTCTACTGGTTAGAACAGCTGGGGCCCGGGAGCCGGGTGTTCACAGCTCTTAGACTGTGACTGTAGGCACAGTGCCCCTTTTCGTACCTCCCTCCATTAGCCCCATGGGACATTTCGAGGGAATGGGGGGTGTTGTGTGCATCACACCTGAGCTCGGCAGTTGCTGTTGTGTTACCTCTGGGAAGGGCTTGGGGGTGATGGCCTGAGGAGAAGGTGCGCAGGTCGGGGGTGGGCCAAAACACCCTGCCAAAGGTGCCTCGGGGGCACCTCTGATTAGCTTGCTGAAAGCTGGAACCTTTGTTCCCAGTTCCTCAGTGGACGGGGTCTCAGCGTGGGCCCCAGATGCCAGGCGGAACGACCCTAGTTTAAGCCATGGCTAAGTGCTGCTGATCTCTGAGGGCATCAAGTGGTCCCTCTGACTTCCCCCCTCGCTTTGGTTTGGCCGAGCAGCGGCTGCCCTCCTGGGCACTCAGGGTGCGGATCCAGGGTGGCCTCGTGCTCCTTGCTCGACTCCCTTGTCTGCGGGAAGAAGCAACCCCAGCGGTGAGTGCCGCTAAACCGCAGCTCCCCTCGCCTGGCTGACTGCAGTGTGTGGCGCCAGCCAGGTGCCCCCAGCAGCAGCATGGACCTGCTGTCGCTTTGTCCCTCCAGGTGGCCAAGTCAGGCAGGGGTCAGTTCGGAGGTTTCCCTCTCCGCTCCCCCTCCCCAGTGTCTCAGGCTGGGGCCTCTTTAGCATCTGGCTAAAAGTCCAAAGGAAGAGTTTAAGCCCGAACTGTTGGAGGCTCTTAGCCGAGAGCTGGGGGGCACCTGGCCCCACGCCACGGGGGTTTCATCGTCCGCAGACGGGTGCCGGCTCCATTCCAGGCTTTGGCTCTCTCCAGTTCTCTGATGTCGTGTTTCCAGGGTGTTCTCACGAGCTGGGGACTCCGCTGGGGTCAAGCTGGTGCACAAGGCAGGTCGGAAGCCCCCCCCCCGGGTGTCCTCTTCATCTTTTCTGTAGACCCGCTCCTACCCCGGCAGCGGGCACCAGATATGCCTGAAGGGGGCCGGGCTGGGGGATGGCAGAGTTGTCCACCCTCTGCAGAAGGCAGGTGGTGAGGGCGTTGGAAAGAGAAGCTGGCAGGAAACCCCTCCCAGCCTCCCCAGGGTGAAGCAGTACCTCTTGGCAGTCCAGGTGCGAGGCGATCTCGTGCTATGCTCCATTCCAGTGGCTTGTAGAGCAGGTAATGCCTAGCCCCCTTGACCAGCCGCACGCAAGCCGGCTAGCGGAACTAGTAGCCAGAAGAAGGTATCTCCTTAGGGGTCAGGCAAATGCACCCCCCTTTGGCTTCCCCCCCCCCAGGATTCAGGTGCACTGCTTGGCGTTCACTGAGGCCCCATCTTGGTTTTCACCCAGCTGCCCGGTTGGTTGGCTGAGGTGGAAGGAAGCCAGCGGTTTGGCTCCCGGTCACTCGGTGAAGGATTAGGCGGGGCTTGAACCCAGGTCTGTTGTGCCTCTAGACCACACCCGGCCTCCTGCTGCCCTGGGGGAACAGCCGTCGGGAGGGCAGCAGAACAGAGAGCAGAGGGTGCAGAGACACTGGGCACCAGCAGCTCCCTGCCTGGCTTTCCTGGGGCTGGCGGGATAGTGTCCTCCAGACCACAGCTTCAGAAATGGCCTCCTAGAGATGATGGGGGTGGCGAGGCGGAGAATTTCCCTGCTGCCCAATCCCCTTTGCTATTAATGGCTTTGAAAGTGTCAGCCTAGCTGCCCGCCTAGGCGGAGGGGCTGCTGTGGAAAGCCCCTCCCTGCTGTGCCCTTGCATCCGGGCGCCTGCCTATGAGGGCGTCTCCTCCGCCGCGATCCCTTCAGCTAACGTGGGTATTTGTCTGCTATTCCCTGAGCTGGGAGGGGGGGAGAGCTGCCCCTGTGCAACCCATCAGACTTTTCCACAGCTCCCCCTCAAACGCTCCTTCCCGTCCCGCTGCTACCAGGGGGCACCATCTGCCGTTGCATTTCAGTGATCTAAGCCCCCGTCCGTGCACACGCCAGCCCGGGAACGGCCAGCCGTTCAGAAGCATAAAGAGCAGTTAAATTCGCTGGGGCCCCGCAGCGGGAGACGATGGAGCCCCTGGGCGCGCTCTGCCGGCGGGACTAACACACGGGTGCCGCTGGCTGAATCCCGCTGCTCCACGTTTGTCCTCTCCGAAGCTCCCCATAACCTCGCAGCTCCTAGGAACGCGGCAGTGGTGCTAGCGAACTCCCCTGCCGTAGGCCGGCTGCTAGCTTTGCGAGACGGGGGGGTCCGTGCGTGGGGACTGTGTAAACTGGTGTGTAGTGCATGTGACAAGCTTCTAATACGATTTTTGTCTTTTTCTCTCCCCCCCCCGCCCCCATTCCCTGCCCTCCTAACTTTTCTTTGACTTTCTCACCTCTGGGAAAACGCAAGGAGCTGGTAAGGAGCCTGACCTCTCGTCTGCTTGAATGTTCTGCTGAGCGAGCAGCTGCTGTAACCTTTTGTCTTTACCGACCCTTGCTGCCCCGCCCCCCTCCCCTTGCTGGGGGTCCCGTAGGCAGGCTGTTCCCATCACTTCTAACCACTGGGCATCATTACTCCCCAGCCCGAGACCAGCGGCTCCCAAACGCTCCCAGTTCACGTTCTGCCTTCAGAAATCGCTCTGAAGTCAGTCGGCCCGTCAAGCTCCCGTGCGGCCTGCGGTTTGGGAGCCCCTGTCCTGGACGGCACAAAAGCTCCGAGTCACCGTTCCTAATCTCAAATGGCCGTTACTGGCGTCTGCCCAGCCAGAACTTTCCCCGGCGTTCCAAACGCGCCCCAGCCGGTCCTCGCAGCCCCGCGTGCTGGAGGCTGAATGCTGTAACGGCATCTAAACTAGAGCAAACCCGGCTTCTGCCCCCCGCGTTCCAGGACGGGCTGGAGAGAGCAGCCCGGGGCTAGCTCTGAGGAGCGTCCCCTTCATTTCAATGGCTGCTTGGTGCAAATCGGGTCCAGTGGGCGAATCCATCTTGAGGGACTGAAACTGATCGCTGCCCCTTGATTCCCCAGGCCTGGCCCGGGTCCCCGTTGTGCTAGGACCGAGAGGTGGCCCCTGCCCCAGAGAGCTTCATGCTGCTCATAGCAGATTTTTCCAATATTAATAACTTGGCTGTTTAAAAGGGTGCCAGCTTTAAAGCCTTCAGCCCATTCGCCGTAACCTAACGCGAGCAAGCGTCTCAAACTGGACAGCTCCCGGGGTTTCCCTCGAATGGCGAGATTCAGCCCAGCGAGACTGGCCAGGGCTGAGGTCGAAAATGCCCTAAAACCAGTAGGCACCCTGGCAGATTCTGACGTGGAGGGACCATTCCCCGGCGGGGACAGTTTGGGTTTGTAACCTACTTCGGGGGTCCCTTTGTTTAAATGTTAGGGGGGTTTACAAGCCGGTTAGTTACCGTGGAGTGCAGAGCAGGGCAGGGTCCCGGGCCCCCGACCAGGCAGCCCCGGGCGAGAGATAAAGACAAAAGGTTTCTCTTTAACCGTGATTAACCTGCCTTTGGTGTTCTCCTAGCACTAACCCCTAGGCGGGCGGGTTTCTGCCTGGCACTAACGCTCTCTGTGCGCGGGAGAGGCTCTTCTCTGGGCCTGACGCTCTGAAACTGCCTGATGACTAACTCACCCTCTGAGCACTGAGCAAATCCAGGTCAGCAGCCCCCAGCCTCCGCACAAATCCCTCCGCCAACATTCAGGCCTGTGTCCGAGCCTAGGCCAGTGCAGGAGGGGTAGGTTCCTGTGCCTGCGTCTAGCGCCCCCCCCCCTCCCCCCGGGGCCTGCCCCCGTCTCCTAATCCCTGGAGAGCTCCATGCCCAGGGGCTGCCCTGTTCCGCGAGCCAGGCCGATCGCCAGAGACGGGCTTGTTCCCAGTGCGGAAGTCAGACTCTCATCATCCCAGGGCCGGCCCCCTGCGGGCCGCTAGGGGCAAGCCGAGGGCTGGGCTCCGTGTGCCGAGATCGAGTTCTGTGCTGGGAGGCAGGAGTCGCAGTCGGAGAGTTTGCTGGGGCTTCCCTCCTGATCTGCCACGGGGGCAGCCCTCTCTGCAGCTCGGTGCCCCAGCCGTGTGCTCCAGGCCATTTCCTTCACCCCGCCCGGCCTGGGACTCTCCAGACCTCTGGGGTCGGAGCCCCGGTTCTTTTCATGGCTTCAGGGCGATCCAGCCACCTGTTCAAACTGAGCTGCCCCCCTGTCGCCTGTACAGGCCCAGGGCCGGCAGCTGGGCATGGAGTGGGGGATCCCACCCCAATGCTCCTTGCGGCTGCAGGGCCCGGTCCCGCTGGCTGGGGGCAGCCATGCGAAGCGACTCCCCAGTGAGCTCTGAGCAGGACCGGCCCGGGAGGAGAATTGTGCAGGGACCCCTAGTGAGAGAGAGGGCAAGACAGGCTGGGGTGAGTGACCCCTGCTGGTCGCACAGGGGATGCGGTCCAAGAGGCTCCTCTAGCCCTCGGGGGGCCACGTCTCGTAAGGAACAGCTCAGCAGGTCTGTGATACCGAGAGCCAGTCACCCCAACCCAGGGTGACCCGTCAATCCATGGCCACGTCCCGCCGTCGGAAATGCAGCAGGGCGTCAGCCGCTGCGTTGACCGTCTGCGTCTCCTGTTCGTTGCACCACGGTTTGCTGGCGGGGGGGTTGAGTGAGCGTTCGCAGCCTGGCGGTTCTGCTCCCTCTGCCTGTTGGTTGGGAGCCCCCGGATCCCAGCGCAGCGGCTTTGCGGGTAAAACCCTCCCCGAGTCTCCTGTCGCTCAGAACGGCCAGTCTGCAGAAAACGATTTTCCGTATTGATTTCCGTGTCCGCATTTACAAGAGTGCAAGCCCACGCCCCGCGGGGCCGCCCCCTGCGGTCCTCTCGCGGCCCAGGGCTCCTGGCGAGGCTCCACAAGACTGGCTGGCGCTAGCGAGACCCAAGAGCATGTTAATGTTATCCTGTAGCTCCCCCCCCAGTGATATCTGAGCCCCCCTTTATCTGCAGGGACTTCGGAATAGCCCCCGAAACCTTGGGCCAGAGGCAGGGCCTGAGCTGAAGGCTTTGAAGCTGTGGGCATTGAGCAGGCCTGGCTGGTTTGCACACCTGTCACCAGGGGCTATTTAAAGGGGGCCCAGCCGGGCCCCGGCCAAGTTATTAACATCTGGTGGACTCTGCTCCTCCCCGGGGCGAGGGCAGCCGTGCGCCTCCTGCAGCACTAAGGGCCCGTCGGAGGGCGGGGGTGTCCCTAGGGAAGTGCTCTCAGCTGTTGGGGGAGGGGGCGGGTGGCCCCGGGGTCTCTAACGCTGGCCTGTCTGCGCAGGAGGAGCTGACGAGCACCAGCGTGGAGCACATCATCGTCAACCCCAACGCTGCCTACGACAAGTTTAAGGACAAGAGAGTGGGCACCAAAGGGCTCGGTAAGGCAGGCCCGGGGGGCACCCGTCTCCTGCATCGCTTGGGAACGGTGGGAGGGGAGGCACCAACCAGAGCGACTGGCCGGTGGTAGAAGTGAACCGGGGGCGTTGCTGTTGTGTCCTTTGATTGGTTTGCGGGTGGGGGGGCACCCAGAGCAGCACAAGCTGCCCCAAGTCCTTACGGAGAGCCGGGGAGCACTGAGCGTGCCCAACGGGGGAGCCTCCCACGGGGGTCGTGGCCCAGCGCCCAGCCGGGGGCTGGTTTAACGTCCCCCGAGCGAACTGCTCTCTCCTCTCGCTCTGCAGACTTCTCGGATCGCATCAGCAAAGCCAAGCGGACGGGCTACGAGTCGGGGGAGTTTGAGATTGTAAGTAACCGGCCTGGTTCTGTCGCCGTCCCGCTCTGAGGTGCACATGGAGAGGAGGGTACTGGGCACGCTCAGTGGAGAGAGACGAGCTGAAATCGGCACCTTTGTCCTCCCGCACGTCCCCCGAAGGGAAGTTAAACCGTCCCCCGAGCCCAAGGGCCCTGGAGGCCAAGCTGGGCCCCCCCCACACTCCCGAGAGGGGTCTCGCCACTCCCTCCCCTGCTGGCTGCCTGAGCAGGGACCGGACTCCACGACCTTTGGGCCCAAAGCGGGTGTGACGGGCTAATGCCCCTGCCTGCCTGTAGCTGGTTCTCGAAGGCTTTGGCTGTGCTTGTCACTGGCCTGGGGGGGGAAGGAAATGCCCCTCCCTTGGAATAAAACCCAGCCGTGGTGAACCCCCTGGCTCCCCTCCCTCTGCCTGAGTGAGTAGTCACAGCCCCTCCTGGGAGGCCGAGGACCAGGAATTATGGTCACCCTGACGCGACGACGCTCCAGCCCTGGGCAGGGCGTCGGGAGCGTGTGGCCCTCAGGAGGTGTGAATTTGGCTCGCTCAGCTTCGGCGGGCCCATTTCAGGTCCTCCTCGGCTTTGAGGCTGGGTTTCCCATCAGTCTTCGGTAGAGAGGCACCCTACCCCAGCCCGCCACCCCTGGGCCCGCAGAGAGCCCCGTGCAGAAGCCGATTCCCCGTTGCAGGGTTAGAATTCGTTGAACCAGAGCGGAGGAGCCATGCGACCTAAACCCCTCTGTGTCGTTAGCTAGGGGAAGGCATTGGTGTGAAAGAGACGCCCCGGCAGAAGTACCAGCGGCTGCTCCATGAGGTTCACGAGCTGAGCACAGAGGTGGAGAAGATACAGGTAGGAGCCACCTTGGGTGTCATGCGTTGCCCCCATTGGGTGAGACGTCCAGGCCGTGTCCCTCCAGTCTGGTGGGAGGCAGTGGTGTCTGGTGGGCAGAGCACTGGACTGGGACTCAGAAAACCTGGGCTCTGTGCCCAGCTCTGCTACTGACCTTGGCCAAGTCACTCCACCCCTCCGTGCCTCAGTTTCCCCATATCAAACGGAGCCCTTTGAGATCTACGGTTAGAGCTGATTGCTCCCCGCCCGTGCCGCTGGCTGGGAGCAGAATTGTCAGAGCCTTTAGCTGGGAGGCGGGGGGTCCCCGTGACCGCAGAGCCCCACGCCCCGGCTGTAACGCGGCAGCGTCTCCCTCTGCAGAGCACCGCGAAGGAGTCGGCGGCAGAGGAGAAGCTGAGCCCCGTGGCGCTCGCCAAGCAGGTCGTGGCCCTGAAGCAGCAGCTGGTCTCCACGCACCTGGAGAAGCTCCTGGGGCCGGACGCAGCCATCAACCTGACTGACCCCGACGGAGCCCTCGCCAAGTGAGCTCGGGTCGGCTGCTTCCCCGTCCCAAGTGTCCCTCAGCGAGGGAGCGTTTGGAGCTGGGCCGTTCCCATCCTGGGGCTCAACCTCCTTTGTGGCGACTTCTCCCCGTAAACCGGGACCAAATCCCTGCTCTGGCGAGTGCCCGAGGCCGTATTGTGCCGGCAACGTGGGGGTGCCCGGGGTGGCGGGCGAGAGAATTCAGCCCCAGCACCTCCTGCTGACCCCTGGGCAGGTGTGCGGGGCTGGGGCTGGGAGGGAGCGTCCTCTCCTGAGCTCGGCGCCGCTGATCGGAAATCAGAGACCGGCTGGCCCCCCACCCCCGGGGTGCTGCAGTCAGCCGCCCCTCAGCTCCCGGGGGGCAGGAGCTGCCCGCGTCTGGTCGATGACAGCTTAGCTGTTCACCACGGGGGGGATGGGGAAGGATGAAAACCGAGGCCGATGGATGAGAGATTGAATCCACCGGGCTGTAGCTGCCTTGGAGTGCCCCAGGGGTGGTCGCGGCGAGGGGCGTTAGCGGGCATCACTGCAGCCTGGCCCCTTCGTCGCTGTGCCCACGAGGCTGGCGTCTCCGGTCCCCATTAACCCCGCCGGAGCAGCAGGGCCCTGTTACCTCCCAGCTGGTGACCGCCACTCGCAGGCCCTGGAAACCAGCAGGGTCTCTTCTGTTTACCAGGCGCCTGCTCATACAGCTGGAGGCGGCTAAGAGCGCCAAGGGCACCCCCGGGGCAGGGAAGAGCCCGTCGAAGGCCCCTGCGCCCGCAGGGAACATGGTGACCTATGAGCTGCACTCGAGACCTGAACAAGACAAATTCTCTCAGGCTGCAAAGGTGAGGCTGGGGCGGGTCTGGGTTCGGAGTTGTCTGCCGGGCAGCAGTGGCCATGCGACAGCAGAGCTGCGGGCAGGGCTGGGCGCCGGGAACGCCTGGGATCTACCCCTGGCTCTGGCCTGGGCGATTTAGCTCTTACGTCACTTCGCTGGCGTGCCTCGGTTTCCCCATCTAATGCTTATTTACTTGCCCCCTGGGGGAGGGGGGTGTTAATACGTGAAAATACCAGCCAAGTTCGTGTTTGAAACCCTGCTCGTGAGCCCATAGTAACATCAGCGGGAAGATCTGTGGGGCAGGGCCCCTCTGTTCTGTGTCTACGGGGGGACCATGCGCAGATGGTTATTTCTTGCCTGGCCTTTGAGGCTGGAAACCAGGGGGCCTGTTGGGTCAGACTCTGCCGTCCCCCTGCGCAGGGAGGGCCCGGGAATTCAGAGGCTGTGACGAAGGGTCTGGAGGCAGCAGGGAGAAGGAAGCGGGGGACGGCTTCTCGCTCTGGGGTGCCACAGCTCAGCACAGGAGCGAGCTGCAGCCAGCGACTGCCCTGGTGGCTGGATCGCACCCGCCGGCGGAGCCTTGGGCAGCCGCTGGGCCTGGGCAGCCCTGGCGTCTCTTGCTGCTTGGCCGGCGCCTCGGCAGGCCGGTGCGGAGCTCTGAGCGGCCACCTGGCCGCCTGCCTGCCTGCCTGGGCTTTCTGGGCAGCGACGGAGCCCTGCAGTGAGGTGCCGTTCCAGCACCCCGTGCCCAGCCTTGCGGGTAGGGGAAGCAGGGCATGCTGGGGGCGTCGCTGACCTCTCCTCTCCCCGTTGATCTAGATAGCGGAGCTGGAGAAGCGGCTGAGCGAGCTGGAAGCGACGGTGTGCTGCGAGCAGGACAGCCAGGTGAGCGCCCTGCAGGGGGATCAGGCTGGGGCGGCCGTCCAGCCCCCCCGTGCCTGGCGTGGGCATAGTGCCCAGGGCCGGGCAGCTCTGAAATTCAGGCTCCCGGCTCCACACACTTGCATTCTCTCTTTCTCCTAGAATCCCCTGGCGGTTGGGCTGCAGGGAGCCAGCCTCATGGTAAGCACGAGTGCTGGGGCCCGGCTGGGGAAGGGGGTTTGTTACGGCCTCGCCGGTGTCCTGTGGGCCGAGGTCCCTTCCCGGGCCGGAGGCAGCGTTTCCGAGAGTGGTCTGGGGGGATGCAGCCTCGCCCGGTCTCAGGTGGGGCGCCCGAGCCCAGCCCTGGCTGGGTCGGGTTCTGCTGGGCACGGTGCAGGCGGTGAACTCCCGCTGGCCGCTGCCCGGGGTCGGCATTCGCGTGTTTCAGCCCGTTCCTCCCGCAGGAAACCGTGGAGATCCTGCAGGCCAAAGTCAGCACCTTGGACGTTGCTGTGCTGGAACAGGTGGAGGCGAGGCTGCAGGTGAGCAGCTGAGGGGGGGAGGATAAACTGGCAGGCCCCCACCTCCGGGCCAGCCACCTGCCCTGGGGTGCGGTGACACCGGAAGGCGCCCGGCGCCCCCAGCCCGGCTGGTGGGATCCAGGGGCTGGGAAGGACCCGGCTGTGCTGGGTGTCTGCACAGGGCGCACCTGGCAAATGCTGCCCTGGTTCTGGGGGTCCAGGAGCACGGGGCAGCCCCTAGCCCCAGCAGGAGGCAGCGGGGGGCGTGGATGGGTGCATGGCACAGAGGTGCTGAGGGACCCACCTTGCCCCTGCTGAATTGGTACCATCCTGGCTTCTGGCCCAGCCACTGTGGGGGGCTGTGCTGCCAGCTAGTGGGCAGGAGGGGGACTGGCAGGGCGGGGGGCACCTGCTCCCCTAGGATCCTCACGTCTCCTTTTCTCCCCCAGAGCGTCCTGGGGAAGGTGAATGAAATCGCCAAGCACAAAGTGGCCGTGGAGGACGCAGACACCCAGAGCAAGGTCAGGTCGCTGCGGCCCCGCCAATGCCCTGGCAGCCAGTGCCGCCCTGCTGCGATCATCTGCACCCACACCCCTCCTGGGGTGCCCCAGGCCCTGAACCCATCTCGGGCTTGGCATAGCTGGCATCACCAGCAGAGGGGGACTAGGGTGGCACAGGCTGCTGGGGGGCTGGTGAAGGGGGGAGGGGACGGCACGTGACGCCTGGTACGTTGGGCTGCCTGTGAGCTGGCGGGGGAGGTCAGCGTGGGCCTTGGAGCCGCCCCTCTCTGCCTGGCACTAACCCCCCC